GCTTCCGCGAGGGTCTGGGTGCACAAGATGCCATGCTCATCATAAAACACGAGGTGGTGGAAAGCAAGAAGCCCGGGGTGATTCTAGGTCTGGATCTAAAAAGTGCGTTCGATCGAGTAACCCATGAAGCCATCCTAACCGGAGTTAGCAAGGCGGGGCTAGGGAATAGAAGTTTTGCCTTCGTAAAGGATTTCCTGTCTAACAGGAGAGCTAAATTGGTGGCCGGGGATCTGGAGGTAGGCGAAGGGAACCTAGGTAATGCTGGCACACCACAGGGTTCAGTGATATCTCCTGTGTTGTTCAACATAGTGATGGTGGATGCAGTACGTGCTCTACGTCGGGAAGGAATACCACATGTAGTATACGCCGATGACATTACTATGTGGTGTCTAGACAAACGACGCGAGGTTGTGAGAGGGACCCTGCAAAGAGGTATCGAACTGGTGGAAGAAAACTTAGAGGGAACGGGACTGGTGTGTGCACCAGAAAAATCTGAGTACTTAATGTGTCAACAACATCGAAGCTCGTGGAAAGAAGTATTACTGTACGCGGACGGAGGGTTGATACCGAAAGTGCCTACGCTTCGGGTGCTGGGTTTGGTGTTACAAGAAAAGGCGGGCAACTCCGCCATGCTAGACAGGCTGAGGGCAAAGGTCCTGGCAGCCATGCGATTAATACAGAGGGTCTCCAGTAGGAGACGAGGCATCAGAGAAGAGGGAGTGTTGAGGCTAGTCCAGGCTTTTGCCCTCAGCCATATCATGTATGTAGGGCCATATCTCAAATGGTGGAAGGCCGAGCTAAACAAGCTGGATGCGATGGTGCGGAAAGCTTGCAGAGCCGGTTTGGGGGTGCTCTCTTTCACGCATAACGCCGACCTGGACGCCCTTGGGGTGCATAACTCGGTGACCGAGATGATTGAGGCACACCGAGAAGCTCAGGAGTTAAGGCTTGCCGGTACTGCGGCTGGACGAGAAATTCTCGCCCGAGTCGGCGTAAGTCGTGGAAACACCGGACTAGCTGAGTTACCCAATGAGACCATGAGATGTGTGAAAGTGCGCCCGATCCCGAGACACATGCACCCCACGAGGGACGCTGGGCGTCGTGCGGCCAGAGCGCAAGCTCTGGAGCGACTGTTCTTGAAATCTGGAGGAGCGGTCTGTGTTGATGCAGCTGTACGTGATGGAGTTGGGGTGGCGGTTGTCACGGATCTGGCCACCGGGGAAATCAAGACGGCCCTGAGTGTTAGGGGCGGAGATGTTTGTGTAACAGAAGGAATTGCCATAAGCCTAGCGGTTTCCCTGCCAGGAGTTAAAGCAGTGCTAAGCGATTCGATGACTGCGGTGAGGGGGTACGCGCGCGGTCGTGTTCCGCCTCTAGTCGCCAAGCTGTGCAAACCTCGTAACGAGGTGGAAGTGGTGTGGACCCCTGCGCACATGGGCGGCAATGTCGCTCCTGACCGAATGGCCCGAGAGTTATTAGGCCGGGCTTTCGGTGGGGCGGCGGTGTTCGCTCCGGTGGGCTACGGGGAAGTATTACGAGCGAAACGAGAAGCGCGGCGGGTGTATCCCCCTCCGCACGAGAACCTAAGCAGAGAGGAAGCCGTCCTTCTAAGGCAGCTTCAAGTGAAATGCATCTTCACGCCGGTGTTGGGCCGGTATGTGGCTCCGGACGTGTACAGAACGGATGCGTGTGTTATATGTGGGGAAAAGGCTACGGTCATGCACGTGTTGTGGGACTGCAGTCCGGTAGGCGCGCCTGGAACGTTGCCTGAGATGTTGGACGCCGGAGTCAAGGATACGACACTGGAAGGACAGCGAAGGGCCGTTCAGAAGGCTCGGGAACTGAGGGACAGGCAGGTCCGCAACCGGGCCCCCTGCACCCTTACCCCGGGTGGGGCTTTCGGCCTCCCCTAGCCAGATGGGCTAGCTTTTGAAGACAAATAAAGACGTTTATTCCTCCTCCTCCTTCCTTTAAAGTCCAAGTGTGCAAAGTTCGAAGTCCGGTTTTCTTGTTCCACCACAGTTTCAGTTTCAAATAACGTTTACACGCCTCACTGGTTTTAACGAAATCAGGTTTAGAAATGTTCGGGCGTGATATGCAGATTGCGCGAAGTTTGTCAGACAATTAAATGAGACGACGAGTGTCCCGGATGTGCTGGATTATTTGCCAGTGCATAGTGACGTGTGCAGATCAGTAATTGTGGCCGCCAGCCCGGGGTGGTCTTTAACGTGCATCACGCAGTAGTGATCACACGAACGCACTGTTTAACGATACTCATCCAGTTCGAAACGGTCGGGGGCAGGCAGGTGGTTGAGGGTCACTTGAGGCTCAGAAAAACCTTGAAGCAATCTGGCAAACTGCCTCCCCACCCCCTTGCACGCTGGTAGTAATCCGCTCGAACGCCGCCCGAGTGACGCTGGCATATAGTAAGTTTAGTTTGTACATGATGCAAAATCCTGAGACTGGGAATGAAATTTGAAAGAAAAAGTGTAAGAAGACAGAAAAAAAGGGACAGGACAACGTCTCAAACTCAGCTCAGGACAACGTCTCAAACTCAACTCAGCTGAAAACTCAGCTCAGGAATAACGTCTCAAACTCAATTTAACGGAGTTTGAGACTTTGTCCTGTCCCCTTTTTTCTTTCTTCTTACACTATTTCTTTCGAATTTCATTCCCAGTCTTGGGATTTTGCATCATGATCAGCATACACCAGCTCGCCTGCACCTTGACAATTTTTTAGATAGTAATTGTTTTGGAGGCTTATTTTCGGAGACGGAAGAAACGCCGAGCAGAAAGCACAGAAGCCGACACAACTTGAGGTCGAGGAGCATTCTACCATACCAGCAGCGTCGGAAGAGGAAAAACGGGGGGGAAGGGGGAGGGGAGGGCTCCAGTCTCCCCCCCCCCCCCTCCCCCCCCCCCCCCCCAGATATTTTGGACTGTTAAAAAAACAATACTTGGAAAAAGGGCATGGTCGAGCTTATTTTAATCTGAAATTGTTTACGCATATGTATAGCTACTGTCGCTCTTCACTGCATAAAAGATCGCGTAGGTGGTCATTGTTAGAAACTCGTTGTCAGAAGGCACTGCTCGTCACATGCTTAGTGGTTCGGAAGTTCAAAGCTATGTCTTTTCGACCTAAATAACTGTGCCATTGGTAAAAAATAATTAATAAATAAACATAACAATAAATGCAAAAAATAAAAAGCTGGAGAGAAAAAACTATCAAGAATCCGCCGGAAGTGTGGTATTCTTGCATACTCAGTGGCCCCAGAACTACGAAACGAATTTCTCACACCAAATAGTGTACAGGCTAAAAAGAACACATCCCAAAAAAGTGAAATAAAAAAATTTTTTTTTTGTTTGTTTTTTATGACGTGCCGAATTTGAGCAATATTTGAAATCTTTTTCCCTGAGCTAATTTATTCCTCAACGTGAAAAGAACAATATATACATTAATTTGTAGTCTGCAGATAGTAATGATATGTACTGTCTGTGGTGTTTATTTAAATGCGATACCTCAAACAATTTCGGCGAAAAAATTACCAAGTTTAGGGCATAATTGCCCGTAGATACATATTTGGATATTTCTTCGAAACTCGTCTTGAACAACAATAATCATACCTTAAGACGACGCTTACCTAGGTTATACATTGATCATTTTTAAAAAGTTTAACATCTCTACCATAAATATCTTCGGCTTCAAATATGCCACAAACGACAATTGTCAAAAACCCGTCGTCCTTCCTCGCTCTTTCGGGAATTTATTTCTTAAAAACCAAGCATGCCAGATGATTGAAATAAACAGCATTGTCTTTCGCAAAGAATGCGGCACCACATGTAAAAATGCGCGAGAAAAAATTACGAATGTACCTCACTGCTTAAATCTAAATGAAACCGCCCGCCCGCCCGTCTTTAAAGGGATACTAAATCGAAATTTGGATTTCGCAAAGTAAGGCTGCAGAAGTGTTGAACGGGACGCTACGAACTCCAAAACATCACTCGTACATCGATATCTCAAACGGATGGCCGTACATTTGGAAAAGAAGGGCGCGATCAAGCGAGTTCTTTGACGTAGCTGTCCTCCGGGAGAATTTGAGAATGAGGAGAAGCGGCCTCGCTTCTCTCCTCCTCGCTTCGGTTGACCAGCTTGACGGGACGTAGCGAGGAGGAGAGAGAATGGGAATCGTGACGTGCTTTGTCTCCTCGGCCTGGTTCAATCGCGCACTTCTTTTCCAAAAAATACGGAGATCCGTTAGATATATCGCCGTGTGAGTAATATTTTTTGATTTTGCAGCTTCCCGCCTATCCGCCCGGACTTGTTTAGTGAGCTCGAAATTTCAGTTCAGTATCCCATTAAGTTCGACGAACTTCGAACTTTTACCCTAAAATTCGAAGTTCGTCGAACTTTTGACTTTTCAGGAATTGAAAGTTCGACAATTTTCGAATTCTTTAGATTAATAAGTCGAAAGTTCGAAAATTATCGAATTACTTACGTAGGAAATTCGAAAGTTTGAAAAGCTTCGAACTTTTAGTGCGAGAAATTCTAAAGGTCGAAAATCATCGATTTTTTAGTTTATCAAGTTCGAAAGTTCGACAAGCATCGAATTTTGCAGCGTAATAAGTTCGAAATTTCGAAAAGCGTCGAAATTCCTAGTTTAACAAGTTCGAAAATTTGACTTCCGTCGAATTTCTCGATATGGAAAGTTCGAAAATCGAAATCTTTCGAACTTTTCGAACCGCTGGAATCGATCATCGAAACTTCGATTCGAAAAAAGTTCGCGGCATCCCTAGTCGTAACCAAGTCGGTCACGCACAGACGCAAATGTCTCAACCAGCTCACAAAATACTCATGTGATTCTTATATTCGAGAACAATCATACAAGTTCATCACATCGACATTAACTTCTCTGAAGATTTTCTTTTTAAGTTGTTTATTTACAGCTATGTACACAATCAAATATGCTATTTGAAAAGAACTGATAAACAATTCGCGATATGTCAATCGAGCTCGCTGGCGTCCTTATCGATCTTGTTGTTGATCAGCTTCCTCATCATTGGGTCCGTTCTCCAGGAGTATTCGGGGGGTCCCATTGAAAAACATGCGTCTCCCTCCAAGATCGAGTCGCCTTCCACGTAGTACATCATGTAAAAGTTGCACATCTCGTCGTTACCTGTGGAACTAAAAGCAAAAGCCATGTCATGTAAGCTGGAAGCCCAACCCCTTTTAGTCTTATTATGAGCGGGTATAATCACTACTGCTAGGCTAACTGTCGTGCTGCGTTATCCAATTTCTTTTTCTCTGCGGCGGGAAGAAAAGGAGCCCATTTGATGATGGACTTTAAATGCACCGTCATAAATGCAGTGTTGTAGGCGTTACCGGAAAACAGTAAAGAGATACGTTACTTGCAAATAAAAGGAACGCATTACCGACCTACGTTACCTCGAAATACAAAGAACGCTTGACCGTTACGTACCAAAGTACCGAAAAAACTTGCGCGTTACCGCCAACACTGCCTAAACGTCAACACGCCCAATTTGAGCGTGCTCACATTTATAGAGGGGAAGGAAGGGGGGTTGACCCCCGTAAGCCAAGTAACCACTTATGTTAAGAAAAAAAATGCAAACTTTTTTTTTTTTTTTAATACGATGCAAGTATTGATCGTTTCCGGGTGACTGTTGGATTGGGCGACAAGAACTGAAGTAAATATTTTAAGCATAACTACAACAAAACAGTATTACAAAGAGAAAAGTTGAACTAGGAGCCGAGAAAGTGAGGGAGCTGTTCCTTTTCCCAACTCAGCTACTTCACAATTCAACATGGCGGCCGGTACGAAACAACAACAACAGCGGCATATAGCTCCGTACACATGACTATAGAACATTATAACATTTTGTCTTTTCACAGGGGTGGTGCTTGTTTGTACCTTTGCTCGCTCGTGGAGCCGTGGGACTACTTGTAGTGTGAAAAATTTAAGCAGCAGTAAATAAAGCGCTATGGCGCAGGCGACTTAACGTTAGTTGAACTCAATTTAAGAAAAAAAAAAGTTTATCTGACGTTTATATGCACTTAAAAAAAAGTATATGCTGACGTCTAAGTACATAATCACGAGAGCTTGTGTCAACAGACACCCAGCGAACTGATAAAGAGCTGGCTCAGCTGCAGTGGCAGGTGCGAAACACACGATCGGGCTGAAAATTTACGGACAACTGTATGTGGTTACGGAAGCGTGTGTTTCACAGTGTTGGCTGTTTTGTCAAACTCTTTTGCATTTTTTATTTCACGATTAAAATAGATACACTTTTCTCATTCACTGCGTCAAATGTATCTTATTCAGTCTCAATCGCTTGTTACGGTAATGCCTTCCAGAATGTTGCCATTGCACCAAAATTGATTCAGTAGATTAATAGACACATCTGAACTGGTAACGTAAATTACAAGTCAGAAATTATTCTTTTCTCGTAAAATTATTGAATTTTTAAGTTTTGTCTGAAAGGCTGAGGGGCTCTAGTGGCAACACTGAAAGCGTGACGTCAAATGTTGTAATATAGGGCAACGTTATTAGATTAGCTCAGTTACGGAACTGCTCATAGACGCTGCATGCACGAGCAGTACCCCCCCTCAATCACCACGACTCGCCAAGCGTCGCTCGACGCGCTGCCGGACGGCTGCTTTGGTAACTGCAGCGTATTCTATGGGAATCGGGCACGGTGAAATCGGGTCGGGATCGCTGGGATCGCTACGTACGTTTCGAAGCACGGCGTCTAGATGGCGCTTCATCTCTGCTCTTTGGAACGCACTATTATGAAACGAAAATCTAGATGGCGCTTCGAACGACATTTGGCGGATTGAGGTGAGCGAGGTGGGGTACCCCCTTCCGCTTGAGTTCCACAACTGAGGTAATCTAGTAACGTTGATATAGGGTCAGTATCACTGATCTCTATTATAGTAGGCTGGATCGAGGATTGAGGCTCGTTTTTTCGAGGGTCGAGTGGCGCCACCTGCAGCCATCGCTTGACACCAGCTAATGCATGGGACTCCATGGGAGAAACGAGCAAAACTGCAATTTCTTACCGTATTAGGTTGTTCTTGAGGATGAAACTTTTCTCCTCTTTTCGGGGAAATGACACTTAATATTCTGGGCCCAAATATAAAAGCGTTAGAGTACCAATATTTTTTTTAGGTAGATGTTTTGTGGTTGAGGGTCGAGCTCTTTGTGTTGTGTCTCTTGGTTTCTGACCCTGTCTTGTGGCGCTTCTTGACAGAAGGAAGTATATGTACCAACTAGCCCATCTGGCGATACTGGTTTCGACTTTGTTGGGCGTAAACTGTGATGCGGTTCAATGAGACAAGAGTTGCCGAGAGTCAATGTGGAGTCGTTCGTGATCTAGAAGTCACCGGAGCTTAGCAAACAATAAGTTAGAAGGCATTTATTTGGGGAATTCGCGTCGTTTCAAGCACTTGTACAAAGTACTTCTGGTGCAAGCTTTTGATTTGAATCGCAGCCAGGGCTTCTTTGACGAACTGAGACTCGGAGCGTGACGTTCATTTGTTGTACGTGTCATTTATTTAGCAATTGAAGCAAGCGACACCGGCACAGTCGCTGGCTTCAATTGCCGAAGAACCTGTGCCGAGGCACCGGTGGTGCTTCGGCACGTTCGATCTTTATGAATCGGCGTTCGAACGCTTGACGAATACCGATTCGATCTCCTAAGACCCAATATAATGATCGCAACACATAAAAAAATACTCGCCTTCGAGCAACGCGTACAAGCTTCAATATTTCTACTTTTGTGTGTTTCTCCCATAAACTTGCATGTATTGCCTGGTGTCGAGCAAGGGCCGCCGGTGCGGGCACGACGGGCTCCCTATCCGCGATCCAGTCTACTCCAATTGAGGTTTGTGGTCAGTACAGCTTGTTTTGGAAAGGTTACAAATTACAAGATGTTTGGTAGTGTGAAGAACTCAACGCTGGGGAAGCTCAGGCCGGCAAAACAAAAACGAAAAGCGCCAAATATTGTTATTTCTTTCTTCCTTTCGTTAATTTTGCCTGCTTGACTTGCAAGTTATACAATACATTGTGACGTCACCGGAATGGACAGCCCAAAACATTTCAATGTTGGTTTTGGTAGCACCTTCATTTGCTGTTTTCTTTATAACTATTTTAAATTTACATATAATAAATAACATGCAAGGAAGTGTAAAGCTTCATCAGTATTCCGAAAATATCTTTAGACTGGGCAGGTAAACAAAAAACGCCTTTAACCTCTCCTACAACTTACAATTGGAGCTGACGCTGGCGGTGTATTTGATGCATACGAGTAAGAAGAGTTGTCCATTGAAGAAGTACGTTCTGGCCGATCACTCTATTCGTGTATTCAAAATATTGTTGTCCTAAGCCCATTATGAAAGCAACGTTGCACCAGTTTCTCGTAGAGACTTCAATCCTTTAAAGGGGCGGTGCAACGATTTTATGATTAAAAGAATTTGCATCTCGTCATTTTTACATTGTTTATCCTGTCCCGGAGGATAGACAAAACACTTCCTTCATTGAAAATGTCGCGATTCCGCTGCATAATCGCAAAGCAAAAGTCGAGCTTTTTCCCCCACCTGCAGCCCCAAGTGGCAGCCGAAGGAACTACCGCGGAAAGATTACGTGACCTCGCTCGGCTCTAAGCTGCAGCATAGCGCCCGCTAATGTACGCAGAGAGAGGGAGGGGAAGCGTCCTCCGAGATAGCACACGGGAAGCTACACGGCACTCCGAATGACGTCACTGGGAGTGCGACCAGGTGTGACCCTGAAGGCTGGGAGTGAGTTGAGGGGTGCCCGAAATGCCAATCTTTATCTTTTTTTTACGCAGGTTAAGAAGGTAGCGGCAAATGCTCCTCAAAGGGAATCGGATATCCCTCCGCCACCTCCGCATCCAATAGCGTCCCACCGTTTCCGTGACGTCGCGGCCAACGCGCGAGGAGGGTCTTGCCTTTCTGTACATATTTGCTTTATCTTTCGACTTTGACTTAGCATTGTGGAAGCCACGAGAGGGAGATTAGAGTTCTCCCCCACCGACGGAAACAAATACGACTTTCGGGGATTAGCTTCCCCCCGATGGATACAAAGGCTGCTTTCAGGGGCTCGGTTCCCTCTCCGATGAATACAAAGGTCGCTTTCTTAAAAAGTGGGATCGGAGACAAGTGGGAATCCATTGAAGCGGAACAAGGAGCGTTTCCAGTGAACTCTTCTTTCGACTGCGGAGAGATTTGAAACGGGCGCATCACACTTGTGGGAGGAGCTTCTCCTACCTTCTTGACTTGTAACCGACTATAGGACACGCAGGCGAAATCGGTTTTCTGTTCTTTACTTCAGAAGTGTCAGGGGGCAACTTCCAGAAATATTTGACCGAAGTCCGAAAATCGTTGCACCACCCCTTTAACACACGCATTCATAGGGTTTTCAAGCACCCGGATGTGGAGAAGTCAACCTCACCCAACGTAGGTATCCCTGTCCCTGAAGTTCTTCATGGTACATCGGGCAGCCTGTAGCAGGGCAACAAGAATAAAATTCGCATCGTCACTGCCCCCGTTCCGCGACAAGTAATGGGAATTCGTTCCTACCCACAGTTTCTTGGTAAAGTAGCATGGCAGGCGAGCTGGCATGTATGAGAGCAGAAACTGGGGGAGAGAAGGAAAGACTCTCCTTTCCTTCTGTCCCCCAGTTTCTGCCCGCATAGGCTCACGACGGAATACCCGAGACAGAGAAAAAAATAAGCAGACAGACAGACACATCTTTCTCCCAACATCCGGTCTTTCACCATTTATTCTCTATGCTTAGCGCAAGTTCGTCTGCTCGTTGCGTAGAGGTTGTGGTGAGGTCAGAATGCCGAGCTCTGATTCGTTCCGATTGAAAGGATAGGGGGGAGACCTCGAGCCAGCTAGCATTGAGGTCCACTTTTTACGCTTCCAATTAGAGCCAATCAGAATTCGGTGCCATTCTGACGTCATCGCAAACTCCCGCGCAAGAAGCAAACGAACTTGCGCTGCGCATAGTCACCGACATCTCAAGAACCGCGGGGCGTGGCGAGTACCGAGCATCTCATTATCATTTGGCAGCCAATCAGATTGCACAATTGGCCGACAAGACGGCTTAAGAACCAATCACGAGGCAAGAAGCGTGAATTAACAAAATAAGCCACGCCCCCCGAGTTTCTCAAGCTGTCAGTGATTATAGTCTTCCTCAATTATGGACGTTGCGACTTTTTTTATCGAATTTTGAGGTTTGATTGGTTCGGCGAACCTTACAACTTTTTACGGGCTTAGTCGGAGCTCGAATTTTCAACATTGTTGAACAGAGTCTATAAACAATTCTAATTTCTTAATGCGATAACATGCTTTAGATTTCGCGGACCTAATGCGGAGCTTCCCCGCTACAATTAGCAAAAAACTGGCGTCACATGACCTATACACCAATTCAGTTTCCCCGTCAAATTTAGCGGGAAATTCGATGTCACGTGATCTAACGTCACGGGACATACGAATCAATTCATTTTTCCCCCTAAATGTAGCGGAAAAAAAATTAAATCGCACGAGTTATACACCAATTCAGTTTCTTCGCTAAATTTAGCGGATAATTTGGTGTCACGTGATCTGACGTCACGGGACCTACAAACCAGTTCAGTTTCCCCGCTAAATTTAGCGAAAAATTTGATGTCACGCGAACTGACATCACGGGACCTACAAACCAATTCACTTTCGCGGCTAAATTTAGCAGAAAAATTGCCGAGGGCGATGTTAAGATCGACGTCTAGAACAACCTTGAGGACAAGCTCTAGTGAGACCTCTAGGGCCATGGGCCCTAGAGGTTGTCCTAGAGGTTGTCCTAGAGGTTGTCCTCGAGGTTGTCCTCGAGTTCGTCCTAGACGTCGTTTTAGACGTCGTTCATGGCCTCGTAACAAAAAAGGAGGTAAAAATGTCGAATGCTATCGCAATTCATAGACAACCAACATTAATGGTTCCTGCAGCCATTTTGTTTAGTCATTTATAAAATAGCTTGTTGTAGGATTTAGGGAATAATCACCCACGTTTGCATAATATAAAAACGAACACACTTTTTTTTAGTCATTTTCTTAGTTTGTTTAAATGTTGCACCCTATCCTACGCATGATGGTGCCAGCTTGCTTTTAATTGGCACACATATGCATAACAGTTCTTCAGTCCAAGAAATGCCTGCGCGTATACTTACCCGAAAAACGCTCGAAGAGCCGATCTCCACGATCTATGAAATCAGCTCAGCGAATTATGAGGCGGAACATCCGTTTAGACACCAAAATTAAGTGTTCGCTGTTTCATTACGCCATGCAACTATGAAGCTTTGCATTGCGTAATGCCACAGCGCAGACTTCATTTTGAGGTCTAAACGGAAGTTCCGTCTCATCATTCGCTGAGCTGATTTCCTAGATCGCAATGATTGGCTCTTTGAGTGTTTTGCAAGTAAGTAGACGCGCAGGACTTTAAAGTGTAGTCTCAACTATTACCACACAAGACTAAAGTTAATTAAAAAGCTCCAAATGACCAGCGACGCACACACATATTTGATGACAATCGTTAACGCCCTAGTTTTAAGCCAAGACAAAATCAGAACAATCTCAACTCCGTCGTCCCACCACAAGGAACACACCAGAATGTCTCCCTGGACGATCGAAACACCCTTCTTGGCGGGGTAGAACATCTGCAAGGGTTCATTCACACGCATTAACTGAAGTTCGTTCAGTGACCACTCAACAGTCAACGGTCAAAGTACACTCGCCTGTGGCTCGAGAGGATTGTGTTTACCAATATTGATCCACTTTCCGTTCCTGATCACATAACCAGTCACCGCCTTTCCTGGAAGTAAGCACAAGGTTACTCCGTTGTTCCGCATACATTGTCTTGTTTTTATTAAAGCACACCTTTTGTGTCTTTTAAGGATTCTACGGCACTCGTGATTTACGAGGGACGTTCATAAAGTTCGTATTATTGGTGAACAAAATAGCGGCCAAACTTGCGCTGCGGGGCAAGGCTGCCTCTTTGTAGTTTCTGCGCATTCAAAAAATTTCTCGCACTATGCACAACGATTTTCACATGCCCAATGATTTGCACGTGACGAAAGTCGGCACTTTCTGAATTTTACGATTGCTCACTCCCGTGCATACAGATAGCCGAAAGGAATCTGCAACGGAAACATTGGAGCTCTTCCAAGCTGACCCTGACAATTTCTCTGATCGCCTGGTCACGACGGACGAGTTCTGGGTCTGCCATGTTACGGCCCCAAGAGGCTGGAACAACGCGAAGGGTATAATCTGCAAATTCACTACCACCCCAAAAAGGCGAAAACGCAGCCGCCATGGGGGAATTTACAATGAAAGTTTCTCGGACTGATTACGCAGATTACGCACGTAAAGGCAAAAGTGTTGCAGGGAAATTTTACCGGGACTCCCTGACGAGGCCTCAAAAAATCTTACCAATAAAGTGTGTTTGCTCCACCAGAAGTCACTGACTCCTATTTCACAGAAGACGGTGACAAACGCGGCTGCTTTAGGCTAATGAAATTTGCGACAACCTTTCATTTTGCCCGACCTGGCACCCAGTGACGTCTTCTTTCCTCATACAAACAGCTCACTTCGTGATAGGAGCTTCTAGGACAATAACGAGGTGAGGGTCGAGGGGGGACGCATCCTTAATAAGCCGAAATGCGAATTTCTACAACCAAGGTATCGTCCGGCTAATACATCGGTGGAAGAAGTGTGACACCTTGTGTGGTGTGTATGTAAAAAATAACTAGCCTCCCCCCCCCCCCCCCCCTCACCGGCCCCACCAACGCCCATGATGGCAGCTTTGTTTCTTCATGACAATAATACAAACTTCATGGACGCCCCTCGTGGAACTGAAGAAGCGAGCGTATACTGTCATAGCCTGCTATACACTGACAAAGGCTGGTAGATCGCCACGAGAAGCGGCCGCCGAAATGGGAAAGGTGGAGCGGCAGACAACGGATGAGAGGAGAGCCACGTGACTGGCGCCCCGCTGCGGCGAGACGCCGAAACACAATTCTCCCGAGCGAAGAAGTTTGTTTCGGGTCCTCGCCGCTCCAAAAGCTGCGCGCTGACGCCCAGGTTCCCCTAGAGTGCCTTCATACACACGCGCGCTTTTGCTTGAGTGGTGACATCTCAGCCATTTTTCCGCCCAATTCGCTCTTTATGCATTTTGAAGTGCGCGCAATCCGGTGTCACTCAGCTCGAGCGCGTAGCTTTGGCTAATGTATGGACGCCATTTTACCGCCCAAGTCACGCACCAAGTGCGCGAGAGCATCACGTGCTGGCACATTCAGTACAACAATGGATGTCTTCACCCTGAGACAGACAGACATGTAGGCACCCTAGGTTCCCCGAGAAATGGCTCTTTGATGTTGTGTGCTACGAGATCCTCGCGCTCCAAATCTGCGACCGGGCACTTTTACGGCTCCGTCGTCGAACTGCCAGGCTTTGTGACTATAGAGGAGGCTGTGATTATGTACGTATAAAAACTGGGGGAGAGGAGGAAATGAAAGCGCCCGTAGACAGTCACATCGCCGGGCTCTGATTCGAAGGATAGATGCGAAGGCTATCCGCCTTTGCCTCTACTCGGTGTTAGAACGCGTTCGAAAGCCGAACTCGCGTTCGAACGCCGAACTTCGGCATCCGGCGTTCGAACTCAAGATAGTGCACGAGGAGCAGACGACGCTTTGGTTAGCTCTGATTGGAATCAGACAGTGGGCAAAAAAGACGAAGGCAGGTATAGCCTTTGCGTCCAACCGCTAATCCTTCCAATCAGAGCTGGGTGCTCTGACGTCCTCGCGGGCTCGTATCCTCCCTATAGTTCGTGTCGTCTCTTTTGAACGCCCGACCTTGAGTGCGCGCTTTGCCTTCCGTCGTGCTTTGGCTTCGCGCGTGCACGCTCGAGGTAAACGAGGCGCCAAAACGTTCTCATCCTGTCACTGACTATTCGTGACTCCAGCGAACTATAGGGGGCGCGCAGCTCAGGCAAAATGGCGGAAGAAAGGAGGTCGTTTTCGTCGTTCAGCACGCGGACCACCATAAATTTCTTGCACTGCAGCGTAAATTCGGTGTTACATATGAAAGCAAAGCAATTTTTCGAGGTAGAAACCTTTTTTCTAGTCAGTGCGTAGGAATCACACGGCGGAAGCGTAAAAATAATTGCTGGAAACGATGTTTGTCTCTATGCTGCCTACGAGAACCGAACAGCGATAGCAGAGTCGAAACGACCTCCTCTCCTGAGCTTCTCGGTGTTGCCGCTACGCGGCGTCGATTTCGCTAGAGTTGCCATTATGCACGAACAAGTTTGATTTGATCAAGCCAACGTTAAAAAGAGATCTGTTTCGTCCGGATATACACAGGTTTACTCCGACATTCTTTATAGGGAGTCGCAATTAAACCGGGCACCAGTCACGTTCTTTTGTGCCACCTACTACTGACTCACGGAATGATTTACAGCGTATAAAAAAAGAAAAAGAAGAAAACAAATTCTAGCCAGTTCGAAAACAAACTTGCTCCGTCTGTTCGCATAGATGAATACGGATTAGTACGGCTGTACCCATGTATTCGGGCGGCGGCTTGCGCCAGCTAGCCAACTTCATAGGAGGCAACACCACAAAGCAGAAAAGATGTGAAGCAAAGAAGCAGGGAGATACCACCTATTCGAGATTGCAGAGGGAACCTGCGCGTCCTAACGGTCGAAATTTCAAACAGAGGAAAGGGAATCAGATGCACGTCGTTGAAAAGTTGTGAATACAAAATAAATGCGAAGTGCGAGCATATGGGCCCTTCATACTGAGGGAAACATGCGCACATGAGCCGGATTCCTTACAAATACAAGAAGTTCATACTTTTAAATGCTCCTGAACTCACCGAGCATGTGCGTGTGTGTGCGGAACGCGAACGGGTACAGAGTTAACTTCTCCTTCATCCGGCAGGCAACTTCCATGTTCACTGCGAGAAAATATCGTCACGTCCCTGTTGAATACCTAAACAAGAACGACTCAACTAACCACAGAAAGTGGAAGATTACGACCAACAAAATCAATAAATATCTCTCTCCAACTCACCTCTTTGCTTTGCCGGAATCATCCCTCCTGTCCCAAGCAGAAAGACCCCCGCCCGCCTCTTCACTCTACGAAAGAAGTGAACGAGCAATTTTTTTATCTCTCTCCATTTTTTTGTGACATTTCTAATTTAGTTCATTATACTTTTGATCATTCGGTCAAAATATACCTAGTACAGCGCGCTGGGGGCTTGAACGGACCTTTTTCGAAATAATGAGCGCCGTCTGGGAGTATGTCTGCGAACTACAGATGGAGGGCTGCCCACCCTGCCTCCGCTCGTCAGAACGCATTGGCATCGTGCCGCTGTATTGGTTTTAATTGCTTTTTATAACCCATACTGTACCGATACTCAAAAGAAAATCGTCAAAAATAGGCAAAATACGCCCGAAGACAATTGCTGACAATATTGCTCTTGTGAGATTCCGCACACCGAAAATGGCGAGAGCGGCAAGAAAGGGTCGGGGGGGGGGGGGGGGGGGGGGGGGGGGTTGTATGCATGCGCAAAGGTTTACTGGAAAAAGGCTCATTGCAATCCAGCCGGTAGCGATGGAACAGGGAAAGGGAGGGGGGGGCGCACAGTTAGCAACCCCCCTCCCCCTCATTTTCCGAAAGCTTCTGACACCTCCGAGTCCAGTTTTCTGCGTGCGCTGCAACACCCACTATTTTAACACTTATAGTTTCAGAGTCGATCATAACCAGGTTTCCGTGTCTGCAGTAAAAGGAGAAAAACGAAAAAGAAAGAAAACAATAAACTCCGAAAACATATTTCGAGACAAGTTTTTTTTAACCAAATCGGGTAAAATCCTCACTTCAAACTATCCTTGCAAAAAACAAAAAAAACGTGTTTTTTGCGGAGAGAAAGTTTTATATTCAGAGTGAATTTGAGAGAGCGAAAAAAACAATGAAAGACATTTACAAATCTCTGTAACGCGAAATTAGAGCGCAGCTCCTGAGGAGGAGGAGGGGAGGGTATATGCCCCTCCTCCTTCTTCATCCCCTCCTCTCCCCTCCTCCCCCAATTCAGTTTCCATGCTAAATTTAGTGGGGGAAATGACGTCACATGACTTGGAGTCACATCACCTATAAACAATTTCAATTTCTCTGCTAGATGTAGCGGAAAAAATGACGTCACGTGACCTCAACACTAACTCAATTCCCCGCTAAATTTAGCGGGGAATTTAGTTGGTGTTGAAATCACGCGACGTCAATTTTCTCGCTAAATTTAGCGGAGAAACTGAACTTTCTCCTAAATCTAGCGGAGAAACTGAATTTGACCGCTAAATCTAGCGGTGAAACTGAATTCCCCCACTTAACTTAGCGGGGAATTGAATTCATGTTGAGGTCACGTCACATCAATTTTCCCGCTAAATTAAGCGCGAAGACGCCGACGCCGACGGCGACGCCGCTCAAGCCGGAAAAGGGCGCGCAAGAGCTGCGCTCATAAAACAAACCAGGTTTTTTTTTTTTTTTAATAAACAGGTTAAAAACACCGACACACACGCACGAATTTTAAGAAAAACAAGTACCAAAATCACGGAACCCTAATCATAATGAAGGTAATGTGAAGTGCCCAACTAGTTCGTTTCACTCTAACTGCAACGTTCTGCTTGAATGTAAAATTCGTTGGGGCACAGAGACGTAAACGGCAATTCCCGAAGATTGGCAATCTTGCGGGAAAGAGAAAATTACTTATTCACTGTTACTAGGTTAAAGAAGGGTAGCAAAAAGCATCTCTGAACAAGAAAGTCCGCAACATCAAATAATGATGGTTTTACGGTACTGTGACAACTTAATGCACATTTACTTTTTGCCACTCTCGAACTGAATTAGCACAAAAATTGATATAGACTACAATTGAATATATTATAAATTCAATTGGAGTCGGTTCATAATTTTTTTCGGATTTCATTTGAAGCCGGATGATAATATTCAAACATTTAGAGTATTTTCTGTACAACGAACATATGTATTTATTGCATTTACAAAAGCTTAATAAAAACAGCTTTGATTCTCCTGTAGATGACTATTAAAATGCACGTGACATATATAAAGTAGAAGGACTGAATTTGTTCCTTTTGTGTAGTAACTTAGAAAATAAATAAAAAGAAGACATTGGGTCTTAAAAAAAGACGTTGAAAAAATGGGAACAAGTTAAGATGGGTTCTTATTTTTCTAAATAGAGCAATATAAGTGATATAAACGTCCGTATTGATGATAAAGGTAGTAAACAGACGAGCTTGTTTAGGTTGCACATCGTTAACACCGGAGACGACGGAAAGGATGAAGACGTGTGACCTGTCCCCATTCTTTCCGCCGTCTCCGCTCTTAACGATGTGATGAGCCTCCAATTCTTAAATTGCTCAAAAATAGAAGAAAAATTAATTGGGTTAGTTTATCAGCAGAAACTTATTATTCGCTCTTACTTCACTTTTTGTTTTTCTTATAGAAACCTACATTTGAGCAAACTAATACTGATAGAATGCCTTATTTCAATGAGTGAATATGACACTCTTGCACTCTCCACAGTTCACCTCAACAGTAGCACATCTATTAAAACTGTTTCTGCAGTTTTTAAGCTTTCTGTTTCAGAGACAGCCGCTGGAGACTAAGCCAAATCCGAAAACTCTACATCAATATCCTGAAAAAGCCACTGAAAAACAAAAATGTTTTTTTTAACAGTCGGGTTCCAAAACCAGAAAGATTACTTTTACAAAGTCAGAAAGATTACTTTTACGCGAAAAAAAAATTAGAGCAATATTGACGGCGCGAGATTTATTTTAAATTCTGCGCGCAAAGTCCATGACGTCACGGAATGGTCATGCACTCTTTCCACCTCAACGAGATGGTCATACACTATCTCCAACCAGAGGTCGGCATTTTAGGTCGCCCTTACTCACCCTCACCCTCACAGCCACACTCACCTAAACCCCTCACTCACCCTCACAGCTACACTCACCTTCAGCCCTCACTCATCCTCACCCTCACAGTCACACTCACCTTCAGCCCTTCACTCACCCTCACTAAACCTCACGGCCCTTACGGCCCTCACGCCCCTCACGGCCCTCACGCCCCTCACGGCCCTCACGGCCCTCACGCCCCTCACGGCCCTCACGCCCCTCACGGCCCTCACGGCCCTCACGCCCCTCACCGCCCTCACGGCCCTCATGCCCCTCACTCGCTCATGGCCCTCACGCCACTCACCGCCCTCACGCCACTCACCGCCCTCACGGCCCTCACCGCCCTCACGGCCCTCACGCACTCATAGCCCTCACGCCACTCACCGCCCTCAACGCCCTTACGGCCCTCACCACCCCTCACGGTCCTCACCGCCCTCACGGCCCTCACGCACTCATAGCCCTCACGCCACTCACCGCCCTTACGGCCCTCACCACCCTCACGGCCCTCACCGCCCTCACGGCCCTCACCGCCCTCACGGCCCTCACGCCACTCACCGCCCTCACGCCACTCACCGCCCTCACGCCACTCACCGCCCTCACGCCCCTCACCGCCCTTGAGGCCCTCACACCCCTCACGCACTGATGGCCCTCACGCCACTCAGGCCAGCTTCAGATGGGGCAATTTAGCCCAGAAACTTTACGCCGCAACACCAGCAACACGGGCCGCCCGCGATCACACGCAGCAACCAATTCCTGCAATTTGCCATCGTCATCATAAAATTTTATTTTTCTTGCTCTATTTAGACACAATTACGCGTTATAAACGTGTTTTTATGCATTTAAATCTCGTTAAGAATACTAATGCACCTTTCTGAAAGAGTTTATTTCCAAAAAACGATCGATTTCAACCCAGAACCAAGTCTTTCGGTGTCATCATCACCGGCACAAGGTATCACGTGAAAATTTTGCGTCCCTGATTGGATGCAGCCGCTTCAAACGTATTCGAATTGCTCCCAGTTGCTTGCTTATTTCGAGCCGGACCCGATCTCAGCAATTCGTGTCGATCTAGGGAAAGCTAGAGAACAACCCGTTATTAACACCAAAATTGCTGAGAAAGATGCTCGATCTGAAGGGGGCTTCACGCACTCACCGCCCTCACGCACTCATGGCCCTCACACACCTCATGCACTCACGGCCCTCACGCCTCTCATGCCACTCACTGCCATCACGCACTCATGGCCTTCACACCCCTCATGCACTCACCGCCCTCACACCACTCACGCACTCATGGCCCTCACGCCCCTCACGCACTCATGGCCCTCATACTCCTTACCGCCCTCACCGCCCTCACCGCCCTCATGGCCCTCATGGCCCTCACGGCCCTCACGGCCCTCACGGCCCTCACAGCCCTCACGGCCCTCACCGCCCTCACAGCCCTCACGGCCCTCACCGCCCTCACCTCCCTCACAGCCCTCACGGCCCTCACTCACCCTCACACTCATGAATATTCCTGGTTCAGAAACTCACTCACCCTTCACCTCACCTGTGAAGATGAGGGTGAGTGAGGGTGAGTGAGGGCCCTCATGAGTGAGGTTTGCCGAGGTATGTCTCCAACTCAACGTGATGGCCGAGCCGAGTCACCTCTCCTCCACGCGCCCGAACTGCCGAGAGAGAAAACAAGTGGAAAAGAGGTGACTACCGACTAAATCGCGTCTTGCGCCATCAATATTGCTCTTAAAAAAAATTATGTAAAATTAATTTTATGACATGCGTGTCTCAACCAGACTGTTTAACGTTTGTTTTTTCTTTCCAGTGGCCCTTTAAAGGAATTGTCCAGTGAAAGCCGGAAGTTCGTAAGATCTTGCGGTGGTTACCTGGCGGGAGCCCGATGATTAACATAGGCCATTTTTATTATATTAAACGACACCCCAATTTAGTGTAATCAATGACGGATAATTATACGAAACTCCATGCCAAATTTCGTAAGTATCAATGGCTCCGCTCCCATGCCTGATGTGACGTCACACCAGGCTTGCAATTGTCAGGTCCTATGCCTCATTCCTCCATGAGAACACAGTGTTTCCGACGCGCCGCAACGATCCATTTTACTCGGTAATGTAAGTCTCGCGGAGAAGTGTGGAGCGTGACAACCGCAAAACAAAAGTCCCCTTTCGTTCACGCAAACCTTTCTAACGCAGCAACGAGGGTGGACCACGTCGTAGCGCTCACGCGGAGGACAAAAAAAAACGAGGGCGCTTCAGTTCGGCGCGATCTTTGTGTTATGTTACGTCAGAGACTGCGCTGCTCCGAAGGTGAAAGAGGAAAACGCCGTGTATGCACGCTCGGTTTAAAACACAATTACCGTACTCCGTTCAGGGAAGCACACAAAATTTAGATTTGTCGTCGCAGATGCTCCTACAGCCATTGACAACGACGTCTAAATGTTTTTTTAATGCGAAATTTACCGGACAATTGTTTTAATTCCTGGAAACCTTATTTTGTCTTTATCGAAGACTATATATAGTTTTCCAACTTTTTACATAAGCGTTCGTTAGCTCAAATTCAAAAATTGGTACTGCCGAAAAATGCATTCTAGGTTGATATTTTACAAGATCTTCAAAACATTTCGGAATTAAGCGCCGAGCAGATATCCTTCTTCATTTTCTTTGAGTTGCATGGTTTTACTCGCCTCTTTGCTGCAACTGGAATCTTCCCGGGGATCGCTGGCCGAGTGGGCTAGCGCACACTAGAACCACTAAATGAGCTACGCTTAGAGTACTGGCACTCTGTTCCCCGATATTGTTGTGGGCGCCGCCATTTTGGTGCTTGTGGAGAGCAGACGCAACTGCGGATCGTCATGATTCAAAAGTGCGAATTTCCAGCATTCGATTCGATGTTAGGAAACTCATGTAATATCGCCTTGCTCTGTCGCGAACTGTTTAAACATTTGTGGAGGGCGGAAAAGCGTTTCCTGTGATTTCAGATAAAGCTTCAGATTACTGGGAAACATGATTTTAAGCCACACTACGGACAGGTGTCGTTGCTCTGAAGCGTATCTTATTTAGTGGCACTAGCGCACACCAGCTCGGAGCACGTGGAGCGAAAGCTCGCGCTGCAGAACCCAGGGATCCTGAGTCATAGCCTGAGTTCAATCCCCGCCCCTGCCCGTTTCGATCTGGATGAGCGTCGTACCGGCGTGCGGTCGTGTACCATTACTGCGTGGTGCAAGTTAAAGACCCCAGGCTAGCGGTTTGCACTGCACTGGCTAAATTGGTCATCTACCGTGGCTAACAATGTCGCCATGTTCTAGCAGAATAAACTCCTGCGGTATAAAGAACAAAGGACTAATCTGTTGATGTACAGGGGGAACAGCGCACCCGGAGAACAGTCATTCAAGTCAACATACACACAAAAGAAAGAGACACTTACGCAGCGCTGAGTAAGTGTCTCTTTCTTTTGTGCGTATGTTGACTTGAATGACTGTTCTCCGGGTGCGCTGTTGCCCCTGTACATTATGAGCAACCAACTCGCCCGAACCTCTGGGTTAACGGCTAATCTGTTGGTTTTTGGGTATCTTGCGGAGAAATTAAAACATCTGCTTACGTTTTGGAGCTGCCAGGAACCACGGAGAGTAGTATGCCGGAACTGTCCTTCTTTCCACCTAAATAAAAAGCAAAATAAATAAATAAATAAAAATCGCATGACTTAGACATTTCTTTAAAATCAAACGAAGGTGGAATAGCACTCGACAATAGAGAGTTTTAGTAGATCGTTCCGATACCTCCGATAGCCCCGATAACGATACTATGCTTGCGCAAGGGAGGCGGTGGCGGAGTATCGGGTATCGTTATCGGAGTCATGGGAACGATCTACTAAAACTCTCTAATATTTTTTTTTAATAACGAGAAGCATTCTTTTTCTATCGGAATTAGGAAAAGATATTTACACCGTTAAATTTAGCGGGGGGAAGGGGGATTGTTTTGTTAAGCCCCGTGACGTCACGTAAGGCCAAGACACCACTACACTGTGAGGTCGGGCGACACCGCGGCATCACGCGACATTGTGGCCGTCATGCGGCGTGACAAACATCAACACGAGCAAAGTAAGGTACATGGACCGGGTTTTCATACAGAGCTAGATCGATTTGAAATGTTAGCCATTCACTTCCAGGCTCGCCGCTGAAAAAAAAAAAGTCATTGAGTTACAAGAGAGCGCACGGAAAGCATACCAATGAAGGCTGTAGCATCAGCGTAATGAACCTGAAGCACCAGGAACCGTATGCCACTGCTGCCGCCGACCTTGAAGCCGACACCTGGAAACAAAGGTTGGAGGCTTTGATGCCGAAACGACCAATCACGGAGACAAGATGCGCGAACATCATAAGCCACACGCGCTGCGTTCCTTATAGCTGTCAATGAATTAGCCATTTGACGGCCGCCTCACTAATCCCCTCAATAAAATCGATTGTATGAAGGTGCCTAATAAAGATATGAAAACATAGATACATTATAATAACTCCTAAATTGGACAAATAACGTATTAGATGTTTCTCTTTTCAATAGAGTGCTTTCTTTGCTATGTGTGTGTTTTAGTGTTTTTTTTGTTCTTACTTTATTTTAAGCAATTGTTTCAAGGAGGCACCTAAGACGAGGAACACCGGCGTCCGGTGTTTGGGGTTCGCGTTCGAAAGATTTTTGACGAGTGCATAGTCGCATAGCTTCCTATATACTGACAAAGCCTGGCAGATCGCCACGAGAAGCGGCCGCCGAAATGGAAAAGGTAGAGCGGCAGACAACGGATGAGAGGAGAGCCACGTGACTGGCGCCCCGCTGCGGCGAGACGCCGAAACACACTTCTCCCGTGCGAACAAGTGTGTTTCGGACCCTCGCCGCTGCAAAAGCTGTGCGCTGACGTCCAGGTTCCCCGAGAAATGGCTTTTTGATGCTCTGTGCTACCAGATCCTCGAGCTCCAAATCTGCGACCGTGCACTTTATGGTTCCGTCGTCGAACTGCCAGGCTTTGTGAGTACAGAGGAGTTTATAGTGGAGACAGCTATAGCTTTGCCTCTATTTAGTAAATATACCAGTCAGAGCTAGGCGTTCTGGCGCCACCGCGTACTTTCGTTTCCTCCTCTCTCAGTTTCTGCCCGCATTAGAAATCATCAAAACCGTCTTCTTTATTACGAAAGCCAGAGGACGCAATGCCACTGTCGACGAACAACAAATACGGTCAGTTTCGTGTTTGTTTTCTTCTTTCGCATTGTTGAGCGTCGTGCCAACGGTACAGTAAATCGGTTGATTCACAATTTTGATACATTTGTGTTCCAAGAAATCACGCATCCGGGCTACAACTTTGATTGTCTGGCCCGGGATATTTCCGTCAGGCTCATTTTTTTCAGCATGCAAACAAATAAAGCCTGGTTCACACTTTAGCGACCAACTACGACCGAGCCCAACAAAACGGGATGTTAGACCGCTTACGACCGCCATTGATGCTGCGCGGCGCGGTCGCAAGCCGTCGCAAGAGGCTTAAAAAACCGGTCTCGTCTCAGCCGGTCGAAGTCAAACGCCCGTGTGTGAATGCGCCCTTAACAGTCACTTCCAGACTGGTCGAACTCACCTTTCGGCAAGACCAGGGCAGGTGCGTCCCTCGCCCAGGCGTAGATGATGTGAGAGGCGGAGTTGCACGTGGGGCCCGTGCGGTACATGTTGTGGGAGCCCGACATCTCGCCACAGTCCCAGACGGCTTTGGGGGTGTCCCACTCGCGGTAACCGGGCTCCGCGCAGCCGTAGATGAGGATGTGGTGGGCCACGTGCATCGTGGCATTCGGTGTGAACGCCACTGAATGAACCGTGCAAACGATATTAGATACAAATCAGTTGTGGAACTCCCACGAGCGGGAAGGGGGAGGAGAGGGGAAGGTATACCTAAAAATCAGTTGGGGAACTCCCACGGACGGGAAGGGGAGAGGGGGAGGTACCAGCAGCTGTTTCCCCAGGAATTGAAATTAGGGGGGTGTCTAAATTTTTAGGGAGGGGGAGGGCTTAGGGCGGGGGAGGAAGCATTGAGAATAGAGAATTCGTTGTGAATTAAGGGGGTGCGTTTGGAAAAACAAGGGGGGAGTACACCCCCGTAGAGGGAGTGTAGGGAAATCACTGGGTTCCAGGGGTACCCCCCCCCCCTTTCTCCCCTTCAGACACTTACACATAACCGAATAAAAATAACTATATAGTCGGTGACAGGTTAAGAGTTCAGGATGAATGGATGGATGCTAAAGGCTGTACTTTTTTTATATTGGGCGGCAGCTTACGCCACCTAGCCTAGGGGACACTCCTCCCACCCCTCTTCACTTTAGCGGAGCGGACGTTAGAGAGAAGGTGACTTCCTCTCCAGCATCCGCTCTGCTAAAACGAGGAGAGGTAGGAGAAGCTTTCCTTGAACTCTTAACCTGTCACCAACTTAAAGTACCGTTGCTCGTTACCCACTCAAGAAGTTACTAACTGCGTTGCTCATTACTGTGATCCAAATATAACGCGTTACATCAACTTGAAAATAACGCGTGATTTTCACGTTAAGCTGTTATTGTTTTTCTAAAGTATTCCTTTTTAACTTTTAATTTTCAGCTCCTTCATTCAGAAATAACCTTGGCTATAATGGCATACATTGTACACCGGTTCTTATGGTTTATTTAGCGTTTTCTCCCAGCGGAAATTAGAGGCACGAACTGTGGAGGCTGCGGCCCCCACGCCCAGTAAGAGCGCCGGAGAAAGTCACGTGATAACACTTCAAGGTTGAGGTCACCGAGGCCGCGTTACCGCCACACCAACAGCGCCGTCTGTGACAAAAAGTAGTTTTACTACTAGGTTACTTTTTCTTTTGACGGCGTTTTTTTTTTTTTTTTTTTCTGTATCGAGTATATAAGAAAAAAATCAATAAATGTTGACGAACTGATGAGTTTCACTTATACTTAAATCAAAAAAGTGACGCCACATCCGTATGCGCTCCTGATATTTTTCTCTTTGTAACGCCGTGGCCGTTGGCGATCGCAGCCGTGTATATTCGATCACATCCGCTTAAAACATCGCCCTGGTATTAGCATCCGCCACAGATTCGCGAGTAACTTGAGCTTATGGTTGTATCATGATGAATTGTCCCCGAAGAGCTCTCTACGCCAGCGGGCGGCAGTGTTGCAGCGGTGGACGTTCATCCGAAGTTGGCTGGTTTCGCAGCAGACGACTCTTGGCCAGCAGACGACAGCCGCTTCCTCGGCGCAGTGACACACACGCTCCGGTCACGTGGTGTCACTTGCCTCGCTCCGACGCTCTTATTGGGTCGGGGGGCCGTAGTCTCCACAGTTCGCCGAGTTATCGTGAAACAGAATATTCGCCCCCCCCCCCCCCCCCCCCCCCCGTTTTCTTTTTGTTTGGCAACGAACTCAGTGACGCCACCTATCCGGTAGCCCTGGGAAACTTTGGTCTGTGTATATTTTCTCACTTTGTACCATGAGAGTGAATTATCTGTGAAAGTGGCGTAAGCGACCATTTTCCAAAAACACAACGCGTAGATTTAACCTCGCAAATATTGCGAAACCCGCCGTTCAATTGGTAAACGGAAGTCATCGAGGCTTATTTGCACAGTGGCGCTCCCACGTTTCAGCTCACGCGAAAAAGAGCTATTAGGTTGGGCACTTGCGTTGTACACGTTCCCTTCCAGAAGTTACTAAATGCCATTACCCGTTAGTCAACAAAACTAAGGAAAATTTTCTTAGTTATTCCTTCTATCAAAAAGTAACCAACTTTTGCTACTTCGTTACGGAAAAAAGTAAGTTGGTACAAGTGACGGGTTACTGATAACTCGTTACGTACAATTCTGCCTTCAAGCGAGTCACCCGGAGAGCCTGTATCATAGAGTTTCCAACTGCTCGAGCGAAGTCACGGGGTTTATGAGCCGCGTTTGCGATACGAACTGCCAGGAGGTTTTGAAAGCGCTGGTCGGCTGCAAACGTCTCCGCCTTTCCGCCCGCTTTCTTCCTTGTCACGCGATAACGCAGCGCATGCGCACTAGCGCCCAATCTCAGCAAGAGAGGGGGGGGGGGGGGGGGGGGGGGAGGGTCGGCCATTAAATTGCAAACGCTCCCGTGGTTTCAGATGGACTCTCTCCCTTCAATCTATAGGCTCTCTACCGCCACACCGTTCAGAGCCTGGCAACCACAGCAGCATAGTCTGACAACCGGGGGATGACTGCTTCCGTCCGCCATTTTGTGGCTCTGACTCGTAGGAACTCTACGGGACTTCTCAGGAATAAACGGGCCAAAGAAGTAACGTCATTTTGTGTCATCATGAAATCCGCTGGTTCTAGCGGGCAACAAGCTCCGCTCATTGGTCAAACTCTCTCAGTATAAACAGCTCTGACGCCGTTTTAGCTGTTGCGCCATCTAGCGAGTGGCAAGTTCCGCGGCCATGATGACTGGTTAGGAGCTGGCGAAAGTGCTCTTCGGGGCGCCGCTCCCGTGTTGGGTGTGCCAGTTGGGTACTCCAAAGTGCTGGGTATCCGACTTTGAGCGCGTCATATGTTCTGTGCCGCGGATGGCGTTTTTCAACTAATTGGGAACGCTTCTTGCCCCGCACTATGACATCCGCCAGTGCACGCGACGCGTGCACGCCACCGATAGAAATCGGAGGCGAGTACGCATAATATTGAATCAGTTAATTAACAGCAATTAAATATACATACAGGTTTTTTTTGTTTTTTTTTTAAATGAGTACACCGAGAATATTTTTTGGTGTTTCGTGACGTCCACAACAACGGAATATAATATGAACAAGGGCGCGTGAAATAAGAACATTCTAGAGAATTCGATCGCAGGCAGCTTCCTGAGGATCCCGTGTCGACGAGTGTGTCCTTTGTCGAGAACTTAAAACACAACAAAGTCTAGATGGGTCCATTGCTGGAGCGAGTCGGTCGATGACTCAACAATTCAAAATCGATGCATTAGCAAGTTTCAGCAATAGAAATTGAAGTTTTTCTTTCTTTTTTTCAGCTACATTTTACTAATTTTCAAAATAATTAAGAGTCCAGTCGTGTTGTGACGGTAAACATAATGTCACGGCTCTCTGCTATCGCGATTTAGGCGAACCGATAGAACTAACTTTTTGACAATTTTCAACCACACACGGCGGCGGAAATGAGCATTCAACTAAGCACTGTAGATGATAAAATCGAGTCGATGTCGGCCCTGCGAAATATCGACATTAAGATAAATTAAGTTACACAAATTTACAAGCTGAAAGAGCAATTCTCACGAGAAACCTTGCACGCACTTTGCGAGCGCACCCGGCGCTCGCTCCATTCACAAAATGTTCCGAGCACACTCGACAGAGTGGCGTTGGTGAAAGGTATTTTCGGTTTACGAAAGCAACACACTGCCGCCGGAGGTTCGGTAATTTGGAAAGCGATGAAGTTTTAAGACATTGCAGCCGCAGTCGCCATGTCGGATCCCGAGCGCGATACTGACGTCATCGAGACACAATGGTGTCTCGATGACCAGGAGATTGTCATCATGGAATTCCCTAGCTCTAATTAAATCTAGAAGTAAAAAAAACGGAGGACACCGCGATGAAAACAACCGAACTTGGAGCAACACACGTGCCCATGCAAGGCATTCATCCGGGTCTTCCGCTCGTCCCTGACCAATCAGCAAGGAGAAAAGCGCCGGTAGCCCTTTCCCCTTGTTTCTCATGCTCTCTTTTTTTCCTTCTTTCCATTGAAGGCGTTCCTCCTCGCCCTCCTTCCGCGCCACGCGCCCCGCCGCCATTTTTGTGCGAGGCCCACAAGGCGCGCGCCTGTGCATGCCGGGCCGTACATGTTTGCCGTTGCATAGGGCCGACTAATTTCTTTTTTTTAATATGTAGATTGTTTTGTTTTCTAACGTGAACAAACTAACGTTTATGCACATTTATTAGAGCTCTAAACCAGGGGAATACGTTTCGATCGGCAAATGTAAGAACGCGAGCAGAGTTGGAGTCGCTCGGGCGTGAAGACAAGCTTTCTTCAACATCACTGAACGAAGACGATTTAAAAAAAAAAAAAAAAGTTTGTAGAGCCCATTTACTTCAAGTGAAGATGGAAAACCAGCGAATCTGTTATCTTTACGACAACTTTACGACAACTATATGACATTTTTACGATTTACATATGATTGAAATAAAGACACGTACACGACTTCGTTGTTTAATTGTCTTGATTTAATTCTTAGCAAATAAAGTGATCATTACCTTATGATCACAGTGGTAAACCGCCATGGGCGGTATTTTGAACTTCGGATACGTTCTTGCTAAACGTGAGCTTGATACACGTTCTGTTGGTGGTCGTTGGTTTACGTATACGCGTTGGTATACGACTATTTTAGGTTTTACAGCGACTTGGGTCCTTTATCAGCGATACTGATAAAGAGCCCAAGTCTTTTTATCAACATGGCGGAAGCAAAAGAAAAGAAGGTTAGATCGGCACGTTCTGCCCTCAGCATCCTCACAGCGAAGTTTTAGCTGAGATAAGTCGGTGACTGTAGATGATGACAAGAGATCAGGACCTCACTATCTAATAATGCCAAGGAAGGCTGACTCCTGCGGGTTGCCCCCTCTTTTTATTTATACTTGCCACGACCAATCGGAACGAAGCAGCTCCAATTAAACGGAACATCCAAAAACTTTTTTTTTTTTAATTATAGCACATGACAGGGGATTGGTGGCAAAACGGGGAAGCGCACACCAGCTCGCGCTGCAGAACCGAGAAATCTTGAGTTCAATCCCCACCCCTGCCCGTTTCGATCTGGATGTGCCTCGTACCGGCATGCAGTAATGTATCACTCTTGCGTGGTGCACGTTAAAGACTGGCTGGCGGTTGTACTGCACTGGCTACATTGCTCATCTACAGCGAGTGACCCGTGGCAATTTTGAAATGGCTGACCAACTCCACGCTGTATAAATAACCACAGATTCCCCCAATTATTAAACTTGGTGTCAGGAAGCTGACGTAATATTGCTTTGCTTTATCACGAACTGTTTACACATTTGTGGAGGACGGAAAAGCGTTTCCTGTGATTTAAGATAAACCTTGAGATAAGTGACAACCATGATTTTAAGCCACAAAATGGCCAAGTGTCGTTACTCTGAAGTGTAGCTTATTTAGTGGCACAAGGCGCGGGCACATGGCTTTCTGAAAGCCACACGCTCACGCCTGTGCTTTTGCCTCTGCTGCACAAGACTTACGAGATGGAGTATTCGCGGTTAGAAGCTCGCTAGGGGCGCTCCTGTTTCCCTCACTATAGGTAGTGCACGTGCTACCCTCGCGATTATGATTTAATTTCCATCTGTTTTAGATCGCACGTTGTTTCTAAGATACACTTTTTAGACCATGAAACCTCTTTGGTCCATGTTCACATGCAACGGTATCCAACCACCTTGAGTAGCAGACGTTCCTCGACACGAATGAGGGCAGCGTGTACGCCTCGAGGGCGAACACGTGCGACTCGCTCTGCGGGCGAGACGACGTCGCTGTTGACGCGCACAAGTTTGCGAACGTGTCATCAAAAAGGACAGGTAAAGCTTCAAGTCTGTTTTGCCACATGTCATGGTCCGACGTCAGAATATGCCATAGTAGCGTCATTCCTCCGACGGGCTACAAGGTTCATCAACGCGCTGGCGCGACACTCCGGCTCTCCGAATTGGACCCAAAAAACATGGCCGACGGGGTGTGTTGCCAGACGATTAAATTTTAGAGGGAAAGGGCACGGGCGAGGAGGAATTTCTCTTCGCTTTATTTCAAAACTGTATTCCTCGTAGACGCTACGATGAAGCGCCGTCCAGTAGTCCACTCAAGGAAAGGTGGCGCGTCAAACGACAGGAAGTTGATCTTGGGGGAAGAGGCTAGGAATGAATGAATTTTGAGTTTTCTGGCGCAGCAGCAACATAGGCCATAGTGCGCCAAGGAAGAGGCTAGGAGGTGATGGTAGAAGGAGGCACGCACTGCTCATGGAAGCGGCATCTATGGGTAGTTTCGTAAAGGCCCGTTCAAACACTTGAGATTCCTTAGGACCGAGTGCCTTAAAACCTCTTAAAATCTCTTACGACGGAGGCCACACTGGTACGCTGGCGCAATTTATACGGTGAACCTAGAACTACATTCGACTAGAGCAAAGGTTTTGCGGTGTTTGTCAGGTCAAATGTACGTGCAACCTACTGCTGTACGTACGTACTTCCTAGTACGAGAGACAAAGTTCTTTCAACAGTCTAACGAACTGTCACCATGACAAATTGCCTCATGACGAAGTGCCCTATGTGACGAACTTCCCTGCTACCAATTGACCTGCTATACGAATGATATTTTGACGAACAGTCCTACAGACTTATTTCGTGATGTCGTAATTAGCAACATCTTGTATTTCAAAATAAAGTATATGAGTATTCCTCAACCTTATATTTTTACATTCCTCTAGTAGATGTTTTCGTATTTAGATGCCCGTTCATGATTATATTTTTAGTATTTCCTCCTTTATATTTACTAGTTTATTTTCCGGACCTCGAGAGTGCGACAGATCCCCGATCCGGCCCCCTAGCCGAAACACTTGGAGACCCGTCTAGTTGTGTAATTAAACTAAGATGGTGGTTTCGCTTACCAACATACTTTTCTTTTTTTGATCCCACATGCACGGCGCTGCAGAGATATGTGTCATTCTGAAAGCAAAACGATATAAAAACTGTACATAGCCATTTCAAGAGTTGTTTACCTGGAACGAAACGGTCCAAACATTTTCATACATTTGGTAAGCAGGTGTATTCGTAAAATGGTACGCCTATGTTCGGTTAGCATCTGTTCGGTACGCCTTTCTTTAGGGTTTGATCATTATACAGGTCCGTCTTTAAGCGAGACTTTTATAATTCTTCTAATTTGTTAATAACAACAGCAATTGGTCAAAAATGTATATTTCTTTGCGGCCCTAGTCATGTCAAAAACAAATTCAGACGGCATTCAGACAGGCAAAGATAATATGCAAACAACACACACTGCCCGACACTGTAAGCTCGAACACGTCATCGACGATTCTTCGCATATTATTCAGAATTAGTGTTGACTGTCCTCAAACTTTACCACCTAGGTTATTGCCCTAAATTACTTTTTTTTTCGCCGTTCTTGTAGCATTTGTGGTGCCATTGAGTTTAAAAAAGAAAAAAAGGAAAACCAGCCGTATTTTGTTTGCGTTAATTGATGCGGTGTGAGCGTTGCGATTGCAGGAGGCGAAAGACATTAAAGCAACCAGAAACTCACTCCGGAAGTAATTGATTACACCTAACCTGTTTGCTCTAATTTGTACCAAGCATATTTTTTTTTTTTTACCGCACTTATCGCCATCTTTAAGTAACTGTCTTTTGCACGTCCGCATTGCGTAAATGCTTGTAACTTTTTTTTTTTAATACGATGAAGCTATTTTATTGCATGTCAGTGAGTGCCCTACAGAACAATATGGACACCAAAAAACCATTAAATCAACCTTTTTAGCATATCTGGTTAATCCAGTTTCGAGTCAATCAAGAGCTATAAACATGTGTTCGTGGGTCACCGTCAGTATAGTGAAGCAGAAAATTTATGTCAATCACCCAAAGATACGATGTAAATTAGTTTCCGTATTTACGGCACACCCACAACACCGACTACATGCGTTCCCACTAAAAGTCAACGAATGATATGCCCCCTCCTCCCCAAACAAAACAACAACAAAAAAACGAAGAAATATTTTGAAGAGAAAATTGAAGCATGCGTTAGAGTTGCAAATTATTCGCCCTGACAGTCATCACTATTTTTGGAGTCTCGGATATTATCGGGCAACACGGCAACAATTACCTGCATAGGTTGAACACTCGGCATCAGTAACTTGATCCGTGTTTTCATCGGAGACACGTTGGTAAAAACGCACGGGAACAAGACGGCGACAAACAAGTTACGAAGATAAGCTGGATTCATTTTAAACGGGCTGCTGTGCATTTCACAGCTGTCAGCGCCTCAGAGCAAGCGAGTCCGTAACCCGGTGCGGACAATCGAATTTCTCGCCGCAGCTGCTGCATGAGCATGCGCCGGGAGTACTTTCTTCGTTTCCTCCTCTCGACACTTGTGGTGACGTACTTGTCGCGCGGCTGTATCAATATCGCCTAGAAGACAAGACCCGCGCCTTTTTTTTATTTTCTTCCACGTCATCACTGGATGGCAGATGTATGGACGAACACGGCTAAACCCTTTGAATTGGGTGGCTACTTGCTCCACCTAGTGAGCGGTATCAGGGTCATTCTCAGGAGCCCCCGCCATGTTTTAGAAAGGGTTTTTTGTCCAACTGACTGTCATTTAACTTTCTACGCTAATTATTCTAGAAGCCCGCGCGTGTACATAGAAGAATCCGCGTGGCGATCCGCAGTCAGTTTTCGCCCCAGCGTTCGACTCTGCTGTCACGCCGACTTCGACGCCCGCGACGCTCTGCTTTCCTCTGTTCCATTTTCTTTTTTTTTTTTTTTTGGGGGGGGGGGGGCACAAGTTCGCCCCAATGAACGTTTCAGTTTCCCCAATTATTCTTTCTTTCCTCGCCTGTTTATTCGTGACATTTTTGGTGGAGGTGCGGGGTACCGCATGTCCGTGCAGCGCAGCCCTCCGAGTTCCCGCCGTACAAGTCCGAAGCCAAGCTCCCGAGGACCCGACGAAGACCAGATCGAGACCCGATCAAGACGCCGCATCCAAGGTCTACACCCGGAACACGGACTTCTGCCACCCAAGACCAAGCAACCAACGAGGCCGACGATGGACCACCAGTCGTCGCAGGCCCCGACCACCGTCACCGTCGTCTACCTGCCCGTCGCCCAGCGAACCCCGACGACCTTCCACGGCGGGATTAACGAGGATGTGGAGTACTGGCTTCTGCACTACGAACATGTTGCACGCCATAATGGTGGACCAATAAGCAGCGCCTTCAAAACCTCTACTTCTTTTTGGAGGGTACCACGAGGCAGTGGTTCGAGAACCAGGAGGCGTCACTTACGTCGTGGGACACCTGTATCGCCGGCCTGAAGGAGACATTCACGAACCAGACACGACGACAGCGAGCGGAAGACCTCCTGCAAGTACGAACTCAAGGGCCCAACGAAACGGTCACCAGCTTCGTTGAAGACGTCCTCCGCCTGAGCAGCCGCGCCGACCCTCAGTCCACCGAGGAGAAGAAGCTGCGCGTCCTAATGAGAGGAATGAGGAGTGACATCTTCGGTGGCCTTGTTTGCAACCCACCAACTACTGTCAATTAATTCGTTGCTAAGGCAACTAACATCGAGCGTGCTCTGTCAATCCGAGCCAGCCACTGCAACCGACTCGCCGGCACGCCTGTTGCTTCGACGCTGGCATCTTCTTGATTCGCCGAGGGCGGCACCACCGCGCTGACAATCTTCGTGCAATTGTTCGCGACATCGTCCGCGAAGAGCTCCGGAAAATTCTACCCGACGCTGATCTCCCCGCCTCGATCTTTATCGTCGAGGTCGTGCGGGAAGAAGTCCAGAAAGCCATCCAACCAGAGGCTCCCATCGGCGTGGCAGTCCCCGAAGAACCCACGCTAACTTACGCCGCAGGGGCCCGACAGCCACCGGATCCTCCTCGCGCCTATGTTCCGCCTCCCCGAGGTCAGTCTCCTGCGCCGCAGCACGACCGACGCCGCGACGACCAGGTCCAGTACGCCTGCCAGGAGCCCCGGGCACCTCGGAAGACCGACGTGTGGTGAACGCCCGACCGACGCCCTCTGTGCTTCCACTGCGGGGAAGCAGACCACACCCACTGCCGATGCCCATACCGACGACTCGGGCTGCGCGGGTTTCAACCGAACGACCCACGCCCCCGTTATGGTGAACGCCCTCGGGAGATCGACGAGTACCTGCGAGAACCTCAGTCCTCCGAGCCTGCGTCCCGCTGAGAATTCCGGTCGCCGTCGCCACGGTCCAGCTTCGCCGATGCACCGACCCAGACGTGAAAGCCTGTCGCCCCTCGTTCCTCGGCGGGGAAACTATAGACGCGGCAACCCCTGGAGGTGGAGTTGCCGAAGACGACCGACGGCAAGATCCTCCACGTGCGTCGGAGGGCCCCCACTCAAACGCCACCAGAGACCGAAACGACGCTCCTGCAACGGTAAAGAATAACCTAAACATCGTTGTCGACGGTCACGACGCGTCGGCTCTCGCCGACACCGGAGCAGACTACTCTGTCCTGAGTGGGAGGCTCTCCCAACGCCTTCGGAAAGTGACGACGCCGTGGGATGGCCCTCAGATACGGACCACCGGGAGACACCTCATCACGCCAGTCGAAAGATGCACTGCTTGCGTCGAGATTCATGGCGAGACGTGTCCGGTAAAGTTCGTCGTTCTACGAGACTGTGCTAGCGACGTTATACTCGGAATGGACTTCTTGTGCGAATACGGCGCCGTCATCGACCTAGAAGCCAACGAGTTGAGGCTGCGGAAACCTGTCGTAATGCCCGAGGATCACAAAACTACGGTAGCCACGTAAGCAACATTGCGTGTACTCTCCGACCACGTGAACTTGAAGCCCAACATGCCTCCGCCCGTCAAAACACATTGGCATCGTGCCGTTGTATCAGTTTTCAGTACTTTTTATACCCATACTACCGATACTAAAAAATAAAGCGTCAAAATAGACTAAATACGTGCAAAGATAAATGCTGACAATGTTGCTGTCGCCATTTTCGCAGGGCACCGGGACGGTGCCCACCGAAAATGGCGACAGCGGGATCGAGTGTACGCATGCACGGAAGCTTACTGGAAAAAGATCCATTAGCCATGTTAGACAAGTGCAACCACACTCCCGGGACTATTTTTGACAGCCTACCTGCTTGTGATGAAGCTCAAACCTACGCTGAAACCGAAACTTCAGTTCTTCGGCTATTCGGGAGATCATGGAACATAATTCTCTGTACTAAATTTGATTTCTTGACAGCGTTTCAAAACCATTGATCACCGGTGATCGATGTCTTATGTACACTGTCAGGAAAGAGTTAAATCAAATAGCTCCCAACTTTTTATTGTAGAACTTGAATACCAAATTGTCTGCCCATGTTCACTGAATTCTCAATCACCTTGGCTAAAAACCATCAAAGTAACATCATCTGCAATGCTGCCCATCATCAGCAATATCATCTGCATCTGTTCTATGCTCTGTCCAATCTTTAAAAACACTTTCATGGTGCAGAAATTGTTTGATTAATGATTTGATGGGTGCCATATACCAACCAGGACATTAAAAGAGATACACTTGTGTGTGCTTTCAGGCACATATTGGAATCAAAGGGATTAATCCCTTTGATTCCTCCAAGGGATTAATCCCTTTGAAAACCTCCACCGCTGCATCAATGACTGGCATTCCTACCAGGTTGTCTGTAATAATTGTTACAGACAACCTGGTAGGAATGCCAGTCATTGATGCAGCGGTGGAGGTTTTCAACATCACTGGGGGGCAGGGCCAGCCAATCCGCCACAATGCCCTCAGAGGTAAGATATGCACTTCAACAACCCTGCACCATATTTAAACCAAAGGTGCTGCTAAACATCCACATACTTTTCCTTTTTTTTTTTTTCCAAGTAAAATTAGGTCATTCAAGTATCACTTGTATAAAATGAGACCCAGGCTTTCGTGAGGTAGGCACAAGGGGAAATAGAAAATAGTAGAAATTGCTTTACCCTCTAGCATCATTCACCCGCATTTTGTTCCAATAATTGCAGACTAGGGTGTCTGCTCTAGGATGGTCACAGATGTACTAGGAGCACGCAATGAAACGCGAGGCCTTTGGTACATACTGCGCTATCTGGAAGTGATAACAATGTGCAGAGGAAAGAGGTGCTGCAAGGGTGTGGGCCTCGGAGAAAACATACATCCTGGTAGCCTCCTCTCCACTGTGCAGTTTTATCAGTGACTAGGTAGTGCAACATGTACCAAAGGCCATGCGTTCCATGTCCTGCTAATTGTACACCAATATTTCACGGGCAAAGTTAGAAAACATTCGTGGATTTTCCTCAAAATGTAAATTATAAATCTATCAACATATGTTGCTGAGATGCCCACCTGTCATATGCTATCAGCATTAAAATACTGTAGAGCCTCTCTGCACTATAAGTACTATAGTTACAAGAACCAAGCTTCTGCCTAAATTACAAGCCAACAATTGTTGGCACTACAAGTGCTGTTTATAGCACTACAAGTGCCATAAATGCGAAGAACTATAAAATGCAAGTCCAGAAAAGTGTGAGACTTCATGTCCGAGTATTTTACCGCCCCTCTTTCTAGACAAGTATGGTGAATACTGGAGACTTCTCATCCCTGGGAACTACACAGTGAGGGTATCGAAGGGTGACTTCCTGTCCCAAGAGAAGAATGTCACTGTTGTAAATAAGCCGAAAACAAAAGCCATGAGGTTGGACTTTCAACTTAAACCAAAAGTTCCAACTGCAATGGTAAGAAGCCATCAGCACAAAATGGTAACTGCGGGGCGTCTTATTTTTCAGGTGCCCAGTCTCCAACACACTCTTGTTGTGCTGCATAAAACTTTGGCTGCGTGTGCATGCTCGAGTATCGCGAGACGCCGAAGCTTCATTGGCATGTTTTTATCACTTTTAATAACAATAATTAATGTGCAACTTGAGAAGCTGCACAACTTGCGGCAGCATGGCGGAGAGCTTTGGGGCCAAGACGGCACTGTCCAATGTGCCTACCCAGATATGCGAATAGGCCAAAAACTACAGTTACCAAAGATAGAAAGCTTGCACAGGAGGCGGGACAACTGAGAAACCTCGCTGCTCTTCTTACCCTGCAAGCAACTATAGTAGTAGTAGCACACCTGGAGCCCAGTTTTTCTTTAGAGATAATGCAGAACTATATAGGTGACATTCACTTGACGTCACTCGCTAGGTTCGCTGCCATCGCCCACCGCGGTCGCCATCTTCGAGGTCTCT